TATCTCTAGAATTGAAAGAAATATTTAAATTTAAAGGATTTTATTTTTTTGTTGCATTATTTATGATTGCCACTGTATATATTATTATTATTATATTATATAATTCGGATTTATCTGCTTTGCTTAAACGAAATGTGTGCCAGGTATGTGGCGCAGCACATATAAATGTGGCTAGTGAATATCACCATTATCGAATGAAACTTTTAGTATTATTATTTTACGTATCATAAAGCATGCTTAAAAAAAAAGTTTATATCTTTTTAGGGCGAAGAAAACATAAATTCTCAATTCAATTAATTTTTTTAGTTGAAAAATGAAAAGAAGAATGTGTTTCATTAACGCGTATAATTTAATTAATTAAAAAAATGCTAGAACATAATCCAGATGCAAAGCATTGATTTTGTTTTAAATTAAAATGATAAAGATATTGAAAATGTCTATCTGATAAAAAAAAAAAATTTACGGAATATAATGTGGAAGGTTACTTTCTACTTGAATACTATTGCGCCTACTACCACGTGTCAATCTTTTACTGAGTTCCTCACGTTTTTTGCCAAACCATTCAATTATTGATGAATGTTTCCAAGCAAATAATCCTCCAATGATTAAGAATATGCCACCAAGTAAACTACCAACTATTATACCAACTTTACGACCGGAAGACATACCATATGTACCGTCATTATTTGATATATCGTCGGATGATTTGTCATTGGATTGTTTGGATTTTTCTGTTATTGGTGGAGTTTTTGTTCGTGGTAATGTCGGGTCGAAATTCAAAACTTGATACGCCATTAGACCTTGCCATGGTGCATTGTAATCCAACGATACCTATTTTAAAAAAAAATCATAAAAAAAAAAACTCAATTTTCACGTTTTTATGGTTAAACATCAATTCAGGCTTTCATACCTCTGTGAAATTATATTTGGTTCTATCATCACTGTAATCATCATTCACGCCAGGACCGCCGATCACGGCACCATAAAGTATATTAGTGGTTTCGACAGGAGTTAATAAATTATTAGTAACACTACCGTGAGAACCAGCATGATGAGGATTTTTGGGAGAATTGGGGTTTATTCCAACCACAAAATTATGTTTCATTGGATTTTCACCAAGAACGTAACTAATTTGAGATTGTGCAAAGTTCATGTACTTTTTCTTTCTCTCTTCGGTGGTAGCATAAGGAGCGTAAACCAAACTTACGAAAGCGATATTTAAAGCAACATTCAAACTATTAAATTCACTATCTCCATTACACCACAGTAATCCACCGGGAGTATATCCACATCGATTATTTGGCATGAGACTGGGGTTAATCATGATATCCAAATATCTTTCCGATTGTGATTTCCATGATATTTCATCCATGAAATTGGTTCCGTTCGTTACTTGAGCAAATAATATAAATGTCGCACAAGTTTTATCGGCCCAATTAATGATTTGCATATAACCTTTCAATGAAAACAAGACGAAATATGTTCGTGCTTTATTTAAATATAATTGTTCACCCGTTGCTCTATATAACCAAAGGGATGCCCAAACCAATTTATCTTGATAACGACGTGCACCGTATAAACTTTTAGCTTCCGACACTTGATCACTATATACATCCATGGGTTTGAGCTCTGCAAATTCAAACAATTTTATGGCGTGTGATAATAATAATTTGGCATAATCTAATTCCTTAAATTTATCTTTGAATAAAATTGACGCGCTTGCAAACGCCGCTACGGTTTCTGCTGCCACATCGGTGCCGTGCACATCATCACCTATTTTAAATACGGGTCTTGGTTTTGGAATATTCTCATCGGTACCCCAATAATTGTGATCAATCTTGTCAATTCCTACTTGAACGTATAATTCATTGGTCTCAATTGAATGCGCCTTGATTAACCAGTCTGTTCCCCATTTAACCATATCATGCAAATATTTCTCTTGCCCTGATAATTCATATCCTTTAAACCATTCTATTCCTCCCCAACTTATCATTGACAATGTCCATGATAACGGTAATGTAAATTTCATGTAATCGCCTACATTATGTGGAAAGGGAGGGAGAGGAGAAAAAAGACGCGTCAGTAATAGAGAAACGCGAAAAAAAAAGCGCAGAATTTAACTAGGTATAGTGATTTTTACCTGCATCATAATATCCCTACATGATTCACAAATAAATTTTTTTTTTTTAACGGCAATTAGTATACATAAATATTTAATATATCAAATGCGTGATAGCACGTGATTAGCTTACCCCAGATAGATCAACGCCTAGTTCTCCATCATCCAATGCAGAATTGTGTCGCCTAAGTGCATAAGAAAGTCTCCTGCGGTTAATAACGAAAAAAAAATTAAAAAGGAAGAAATATAATTTCAAATGAATCTCACCATGGAACTCGATTGTTTGGAGGTAAGATACCACTTCGTTGCGCTTCGTAAAAATAAAGTGAATAAGACAACAATTTAGAGTAATCACTATCAGGGTATGATCCATATTTTGTCGTCTCTGGTATCCCTTCAACATCTGGTCCGGGCGAAGTAACTATTCTAGGTGGTTCCTCCATTTCTTGTGCATTAATTATGGTTAGGGTGCACAATAGGAGACCGATTAACTTATAACTAACATTAAATTTTTTAATATTAATCATGATTTAAAATATAATGATTATATAATACAAGTAAAGAAATATTATTTTACAAAAAAAAATAATGTGAAAAAAATTAGAAATCTTTTAGGTTTTTTTCTATATAGAATCGTATATTACAAAGATCATTCTTTAAAGTGAAATGAAAAAAAAAAAAAAATGAAATGAATAAATAAGAATTTTTTAAAAAAAAATGAGGAAAAAAATAAAAGAATTAATTTGAATCTTTTATACCTTTTTTTTTTTTTTTCCTGAAACATGATCGAAGGTTATGTTCGATTTAAAAATAAAAAAATTTATATGCATATTTTTTTTTGGTACACATTTTACTGTTATTAAAAGATTCTCTAAAAAAAAAAAAAAAAAAATTTCATGCATCCTCCTAAAAAATTGAAATAAATGGTAATAACAAAACCACAACATATATCAAAACTGCAGATAACTCTCTTTGGTAAGATTTAAATGAGCTTGTTTTTAATTAAATGAAACAAAGGAGAATTTAGATTTATTACTATAATAGTTCTTTGGTTTAGATGAAATTCAAGTTTATTTTCCGATTATTATAACAACTTACGCCATGTTCATAAATTATTCACATCTTATCCCTTACTATTTGGTAAACTACCGTTGACAAAACTTTTAAAGGAAAATATCATTAGATAATGATAATGAATAAATTGGTGATTCAGCCAATAATCCATGTAAGGCATATTGATAACTCCGACTTCTATGTTTCCCTTATTTTCTCAATCATGCAAAATCAAATATCAAACATTTATTGCATTAACCAAAGGGATTTTAATCAAAACCATATTGTTTATGATTTAGGTTACATCTGCAAAAAAAAAAAAAAAAAAAAAAAAAAAAAAAAAAAAAAGAGGAAAAAAAAAAAAAAAAAAAAAAAAAAAAAAAATCCCGAGATATTTTACGGACGATCGTTTTGTCATATCGGCCAGGATTATC